CCCGCCCTCCACCCCCCCACCACCGACACCACCAGCAGCGTCTGTGGGTGGTTGCTGACCCATGCCTCTCCGTCTGTGGAAGCTCCTGCTTACTGCCACCACCGCTGTGCTCCCACCATCGCCATGCCCCCCCAGCTGCCAGGGGCGTGCATCATTCATGGGAACGCTGATATACATGATGCAGAAGGCTGCCAGAGCACATCAATTTTTGTGCTCCAGCAGACTTGATTAATCAAGTCTGCACTGACCGCTGGATTTCCAGTGCACAAGAGTTGGCTCCGCATATGTGTGTAGGAGTTCCAGTCATGAACCAAGACACCACTTTGCTACATGGTGTGTACACATAAAACAAAAAGAGGGTCCCTGCCCCAGGAAGCATACAGGCTACCTACATGGCAGAAGATGGTGTACGCATACAGAGATGACAGAATTCAATGAAATAAGGAGAACAGTGGTGGGCAGCATGTTAGGCAGTGGTCTCAACACACCAATAGCCTAGCCTTTGTAATAGTTAGTAAAGAGAACAACAAGGCCCAATGCAAAAAGAAACAGAGCAATTCTATCAGAATAGCTTCCTGTCATAGAGGTTTCCTTACCACTCACTTCATCAGCATACGGATGATCTGCACACAGGTGCTGTGTGTCTCCCTTTAAGCCACAAATGTTGATCCTGGCCTCCTTTTCTGCCCCTTGAGTTTGCATGGGTAGTTGTCAACCTAAGGCTGCACTAGCCAGAGCTAATTCTGCTTGGGAAAGGGAGAAAGAGATGTGGTCTTTGGGACTCTAGCTGTCTGCTTGGGTGAGGAAGGAAGTTGGGTTGGAGATTCCTTCACCACATTTCCCTCTTACTGTTAGTGCTGTAAGGTAGTAAAATGTTTTCAAGGGGAGGCTGAATAAGTGTTTGACAGCAATGATTTAGGGATAGCTTTCTTGCATGTCTGCCTGGAGTTGGATAACATGTTCCTCAAAGCTGCTTCCAACCCTGTGTTTCTGTGATTCTATGACATTCACCTGGGGGTGGAACATGTAAGTTCCAGTCTCTGCTCCAGCAAATGTTTGTTCATTTATTGATGCAAAGGGGAACACCATCAAAAGGTGACTGAGAACATCCTGGTTGTGTATCCATATAGCACTCCCTTGGGTGTGGGTTCAAATCCATTCAGGCAACAAATTTAAATCCAGGCCTCCTGCCCCCTAGGTGAGTGCCCTAATCCCAAGGCTATTGGGTAAAAGTGGGGAGAGAATAACAGCAGCATCATGAGATCTAAATCCAGATTTTCTTTTTACATCTTAAAGTATTCAGTTTTGGGTGATCAAAACAACATTTTTCAGTAAATAAACTGTTGGCCAAGAATTCAGTCAGCTCTACCATTATTACATTGTTTCAAATGCTGCATGGAAGTCAATAGTATACAATTCTGCTCCTTGGTGCTAGAAAGACTAATAATGTCAACATCTGTGAACAGCATAGGTAACCTTCATTTCATTTGGTGACATCATAGCATCATTATTTTATTCCTAGATTGCCATGTGAAGCCTTGTATAAAGCAGCTCCACCTTACTTTGGCTCATAAGTTTTCTCCTCACCATCAGAAGACTTTGGAACAACTGGCTAGATCTATCAACCCAGGAGAGGGTTGCCAGTGGATAGCTACTCTGTACTCTAGGGACATGCGCTTTGTACATTACCAGGTACAGCATTATTTATTCTCCTTTAGCCACATATTTAAAAGCCTTTCTAACACAGATTTGTTTCTTTTTTTTCCATTGAGAAAAAATGTGTGTGTGCAGAATCCATTGGCTCAGTTTAATGAAAGAAGTAAATCAATCCATTGGTTTAATATACAGTACTAGTATACTAGGTGTATCCTCAGACTAAAAAACTGTGTTCAAAATCAGTAGAAGATATCTATGGCGCATTATATGATGATCTGACATGCAGATCAGCAGTATTTAATTCCGTACTCTAACAAGCAAACCAGATGTTTTCTAGAAGTGGAAAATAAGGACACAGGAAATACACAAATAGCATTTGAAAGTAATAGTATTATTTCATGGAAGATCATTGCTTTCCTGGGCTGAGGTGGCAATCCCAACTGTACCAGTCTGAGAAATATCTGTACCCAATATAGGGAACAATTCTGTCCTTTATAATTTTCTGATTAAAGGAGCCGTGATTAAAACTGGACACATTTTTCATTTTTTAATAAATTTTTAAAAATGTTCATGTTTATTCTTCAGCCGTTTTCAAACATATCATTCCAATACAGTATATTGTGCTATTCAGGATCTTATAGCAGGATTTTATGGACAACGTGGGAGAACTGAAAATTGTTGTGGGAAATGTACCATAAAATATTTTATGTAGTTACTAATCTATAGTTGTTGTACATAACTCTTTTATGAAGACCAAATGTACTGGACATACATTTTATGTATATATTGGACCTACACTATTGCATTCTATCTCTGCTAAAGAAAAGTGTCATGCAAAAATAAGTTACTGTATAAAAAAGGCATTGATTTTTCTGTGTACAGTGCACAGATCTTCTCTGAAATTCCCCATAATTTATAATAGAGTCCTGGAAGTGACATATATTTTTATTCCCCATCAGACCTTGCGAGCAGTTTTCCAATACAAGCCTCAGAACATTGATGAACTAATGCTGAATGCTGGGGATTTGATATTCGTTGACCGAACACAGCAGTCTGATGTTAGTGAAGGCTGGGTGATCGGTACCTCACACCGAACTGGCTGCAGGGGATTTCTTCCTGAAAATTACACAGAGAGAGCCAATGAATCAGACACATGGGTTAAACACAGGTTAGTGAAACTCCTCTCCATAACTGCCACAGGAATACACGCATATTGTATACCGGGCTCCCTTACATGATGCACCACAATGGCAGAGTTCTTCTCTTGATTCCCCCTGTTGGACTCTGTTGGTTGACATTGGAAACCTGCAAGGAGGCTGGTTGATTCTGGCCAGCTCACTCCAGCACAGAGGTCTTGCTTAACATCACCCAGCACCTAAGGAGTTTGGGACAGGCTGTATGGGCAGAGGGTTGGCTGTGCAATGTAGCACATAGCATGCAAATGTATCATGCAGTAGCACCAAAGATTGGAGAAAATAAGCCACTGAGAGTTGAACAAGGGTGAAGCTTGGGAGCAGGCAAACCTGGAGAGAGGCAAACAAACTCCTGAGTTAGAGTTTGTGTCAGAGCATTGTTAGTTTCTTTGTAAGTAACCCGAATCTCAGGAAATTATTTTCTAAAGTATGTGGGTATGAATCTATTTCAGGCTGCCATCTACTGCCCTTCCTTTTTCCATTTGCTTTTCCTTGTTCGTTCATTCTTTCCTGGTACTCATCTGTACCTGCAAAGGAAAAAGGAGAAAAGAAACTAATAAGACTAGGCCTATGGTCACTTCAATCACTTCTCCTGTGTGGCATCTTCCATCCTTCTGTATTTCATCTGTTGTTTGGTTTTTAAGTTTGGCTAAGCAAAATATATGTTTTTGTATGTGTGTAGAAAATGCCTAGAGCATTCTGGCAGCTCAATTTATACAGGAAAAATATTACATAGAGGTGTATGCTACATCTACATGTATAACTTTATAAATAAATATTATATATGTGTATATATAAATGTCTATATACTATATATATAAGTATATATATGTGTGTATGTATCTATACAAATTATGTAGTGTATATACAGTGTGTGTATCTAGCCACATTATGTAGTGTATCTATACTGTGTGTATCTATACAGTATAGATACACACACACAAACAAATACACGTGTATATAAAGGTATACAACATACAACCTCAAGCAGGAAATTAACTATTAAGGCATCTGACAGCACACATCCTTCATGCCTCTACCCACTGACACCTCACTTTTAGAAGGACATCACAAACAGTGCAGTATAGGTTTATCTCTGACTCAGCAGGGACACAAGCCATCCAGCTCTTTCCTTGAATCTCCCTGACAAGCTCTATACCAGACTCCGCCCACATCCCCAAGCATGGCTTCTACACAGTTTGGAGGAAACAAGCATACGTGGCCTTAACATATGCAACAACACATATGAGACTTCCCCAGTATCTTTATTAGAAAGAATCTTGAATACAACATTAGATTCTGAGTACTTTCAATAGCTCCTGTTGGTTTTTTGTTTTTTTTGTTTTTGGGGG